GTCCTGGTAAGTTTCTCCCTCCTACTTCCTCCTAGGCACATCTTGAAATGGATAATCGCTTTAGAAACAGTCAAGAACTATGCTAGGTTTGTCTGCAGATTCAAGAAGCCTGAGCCACAGACCACCATTGGTTGGGCTCCATTGCAACACAGCCCAGCCCTGAGAGCAGGTGGTCCTCACTTCTCTAACCCCACCACTCTGCTAATCCTCTAGCCTAAAGTTGCAGGAAAGTTTATGAGTTAGGAGTCATGTAGACAAAACCCAAATCTTTGTTTACCACTATCAGCTAGTAGATTTACACCTTGTTTCTAATGCAAAAAAAAAAAAATGACATTAAATGAGGTAACATAAGTAAACTACAGTAAGCAGTTAATAATGGTACATTCTTTAGGTTTCATCCCTTTTCAAAGATGTCTTATATCCAATAAGTAAGCGGATCTGATAAAGATGTCTCCTCTTTCTGATAGAGTCTACATTAAGGCTTCAGTTGCAACCCATTGAAGCAATTGAAAATGTCATCTCCCTTGACATCTAAATTTTTTTACTAAATCACTTGACACTTCTTCAGTAGGTTGTTTGTTGTTGTTGTTTACTTTCATTCATGTACACTGTTTGGGGGTTTGTTTACCCACACCCACCCGCCCCGCTTCTCCATCTACCCACCAAACCCTGTAACCCTGTGATTTCTTAAACCTCCCTACTCTAAAGCCCCCCACCCCCTCCACTTCCCTCTTTGTATATCCATGCACATGTCACTGGTTATCCTCCTGTCTTTATAGTAATGGTCTTAAAGCAGTATTTGTCCTTATGGTCCTGAGTTAGTTCACTCAATATAATGCTCCCAGAACATTTGATTGTGCTAATGCGAAACCTATACTTGGACCAGGAGGCAGTCGTCAGAACAGAGCAAGGAGACACTACATGGTTCAAAATCAAGAAGGGGGTCCATCAGGGATGTATTCTGTCTCCATACCTTTTCAATCTGTATGCAGAACAGATCATCCGAGACGCTGGGCTAT